GTCCCCTGTCGAGGGCCACCCTGGGGGCCACCGCTAGGGAAGCAGCAAGCCGAGGTCCCCCAGGTGTCCTCGCCTTCCTGCACACACAGCACCAAGGAGGGAGAGAACCGCCCAAAGGTAGGAGCTCATGCCCTTCCCAAGCAGGGGTGGGGACGAATTGGCCCAGTGCAGAGCGGTAGAAGACCACTCTGGTCACAAGAAAAGTCATGCAGTATCTAGTCAATCAAGATGTCTTCCTTCCAGGGACCACAGATCCCCCCGCTGTGAACACCAGCCTGAGAGGAAGCCTTTAGGTGGGAGGGATCTCTGTTCCCAGGCTGCTTTGTACAAATGGGGCCTCCTACCTCACCTGCTCCTGCCTGGTCCAGTCTCCTCCTTGCTGGCTGGAAACAACACTCTCTCCCTTTGTGTCAGGCCCACACACAATGTGGTCCTGCACAGGTGACTGCCACAAGTGTTAGGGACCCTTAGTTCTTTGCAGAACTGAGTCCCCATCTGCAAGGACCTGCCCAGCAGAGACAGTCAAGATGACTTGGGGACTCACTGAAGCCCTGGAGGGAGCGTCCCAGGTCACTGTGAGGACATGGCTCCCAAATGGATAACTCCACGCCACCTTGTCCTGTCACCAAGGCAGCCTGGCCAAGATGTGGCACTGGAGAGGCAGGACAAGGGCAATGGCATGCTGATTTTCAAGGAAGAATTCTGGCTTTTCTTAGAAAAATGGAAAAAAAAAAGAATTTGACTCTTTGGGGAATGTAAGGGAAAGAACATTCTGGTACAATGGCCTCCACAGGCATGGAGGAGCACAAAGGCAGTGATTCTGGACAACTGTGGAAAAGCCAATGTGCAACATTCCCTTCTGAAGCACCAGCCATGGCTGGACAGGGTTTAATCTCAAGCAAAATGGCAGGTGTCCCCCCACCCCCAATCCAGCAGATCCCCTCTTCACTCCAACTGCAAGAGCGCAGCCCAACCCGGACACAACACATATTTCACAAACAGCAGGAAATTAGGAGCTCCACCCTCAGGGACAGAGAAACTTGAAAAGGATGAGCTATGTCATATGTTCAAAACACAAAGTTTTTAAAACAAAAGCCTCTCGTCTTCCCCTCACTCCATTAGGTTTGCACATCTGCTATGAACGCGGAGGCAATTTAAGCCCTTGTTGATGTGACTAATAGTGTTAGATAATTGGATTTGTGGTGGATTAGTTAAACAGCAGCCAACCGTCCCTGTCCCAGGAGCTCTTGGGTGGAGAGGCAGGCAGAGCCCGCTGTGCTCTGGAGGGCTGCAGTCACAGGCATGGCTGCAGGGAGTGGGGGCCTCTTGGCTAAGGGGTGAGCCGCAGCGAGAGCAGGAAGGAGTCGGGAAAGGTAGGAGGAGTGCCGGGCGAGGAGAGCCTTGCTGACAGTACAGATCTGAGCATCCCCCGAAGGTCGTGGGGCTAAAATCTGCTCCCAGTTGGCCCTACCGGGAGGTGGGGGACTCTGTAGGAGGTGAGGCCCGCAGGTCTTGAGGTCCCTGGGGGTGGGGGGGACAGTGGGGCCCCAGCCCTCCACACTCTCCTTTTTCTTCCTGGCCCTGAGGTGTGCCCCTCATTCCTGCTGATGGCTGCTGCTGATCACCACGGAGTGACCACCTCCCATAGGAGCCGCAGTAAGCCTTTTTCTTTTCATAAGTTGATTATCTCACTTATTTGTTATGGTGAAAAGCTGACTAACAAAACATTCTTTTTCTGTTTTTACAAGCTTTAGTTCACCTGCCTTAATTTTAAAAACCTATTAACCAATGGCTTAATGGCCAGCTTGAGTGGCTGACCATGTGCATTCTGAAGCAGGCTCTCCTGTGGACCTGGCCCTGCCTGCTGTGCCCTTGCTGGCCTCTACCAAGCCAGGCCTGCTCTGTGCCAGAGAAAAGCTGCCTGCATTCATGCCATGAGACTCAAGGCACAAAGCTCCTTCATGGTAGTACTCAGAGAGCTTGGTTTTCTGGGAGAACACTGGAAGGTCTCAAAGCCCCTGCTGGGGAGCGGGTTAGACTGGAAGCAGAACTCATGGCTCCTGCCCACACACCTGGGGGAAGCTGGGGGACAGAAAGCACTCCCTCCCAGGACTGTCCTGAGATACTCTGAAGCCACAGTGAGACAGCAAGTAGACAAGAAGAATGAGGAAGGGGAACCAGACAGAAGCCAGGCCTCATTCATCTTCATTCCAGCTGCCCTTGGCCTTTACTTTGACCCAAAGACTACTTTTTAAAAATGATGAATGGTGTAGTGTTTTAAAGGCATTTGACCTTATTTTTCTGGGCTAGCGACATTTATCTATATAAACACATTTCCCCCTTTGCCTGATATATATATATATATGGCTTCTATTTTATTTTTACATTTCCAGGGATTGAACTCAGGGTCTCCTGAGTGCTAGGCAAGGCTCTACCACTGAGCTACATCCCAACTCCTTTTTATTTTCCCTTGAAGGTAAGCACACACCACTGTGCCTGGCTAAATACCGATGCCTGAGTGTTTTGAAAGCTCCTGGCAGTGTTTGTAATATGCAGTCAAGGCTAGGAAACAAAGCTAACTTCCCCCCTGTGTTAGGATTGAACCCGATTCTTTAATAGCACTTTTCATAAACTCTTTCTTTGGGCTTGATTTACATAAAATTCAAAAAGTGATATAAATTTTCTGCCTAGGAAAAGTAGTTTAAATTATAATTTGTAGTTTCAGTGGGTTGGCAGTGAGATTGGGACCATGATCTGGAGCCAGCAGCAATGAATGTAGATGGGGTATATCCTATAGCACTGATTCCAAACATTTTGGCAATGATGTCAAAAGTTACAAAATTACTTTGAATCAGCAATTGCATTTCTGAGAATGTATGCTGGGCAAACTTTCGAGATGAATTTGAGCTGTGTGCTTAAATGTGCTCACGGCACAGTTATTCACAGTAGTGACAATCTGCCAAGGATCCAGATGCCTGCAGTAGGGAATGGATCAGTCCAGGACAGTCACTCTATTCCATGAGAGGCAACACTCTCAGTCACTACCTTGCAATCAAGGACAGGGTCTCTAATATATTGTCAAACATATAGTGTTACCAAAAAGAAAGAAAGAAAGAAAGAAAGAAAGAAAAGAATAAGAAAAAAGAAAAGAAAGAAAGAAAAATAAAAAACCTAGTTACAATATTACACACATATAGGGAAACATACGTGTAAAGAAACGGGACATTTCATGTGCACTGATTAACTATCAATGAGAGCAACAAGACAGGTCTTTTGGTGTTTTTTTTTTTAATGTCTTCTCTTTAATTTTATAAAAAATAAACAAGAGGAGACCTTCCTCTCCCATGTAAAAAAAAGAAGGAATCAGGTAGGAAGGAAGGAAAGAAGGAAAAGACTGATTTTACATTTGGGAAAATAAAATATAGCTCCTCTGTTGCCCACACTGGAGTAGTTCCACATAGCAACTACCAGTCATGTTGTGAAGGCAGCAGAGGGGTCAAGGTGCAAGCACAATGACATCCCAGCCAGGGATCCTCTGTGCTTGGAGGGTGTTATGGGTGTGCAGAGGTCAAGAGACCAAGGGCAAGGACTCCAACAATCAGACTCTGTTCTTGTGCTCCCTAGAGCTTCAGGGGTCAATCCCCAAAAAACGGCCAAGCCAGGCTATGTGCAGTGTGGGGCCTGCACTGGGAGCTGCCTGCTGCCCGGGGTGCAGCACAGAGTCGGTGATCATGGCTGGGTTTCTGACCTCACAACAAGGCACAGCCACAGAGACACATCCTTCACGGTGCCCAGGACTCTGATACAGGATTTACAGGCCTGCTTTTATTCCACTTTCACAAGAGGCCTTCAGGTACAGCCCATTTTATGCCTATGTTAGAGCTCTGAATTGGAGACATAAAGAGACCAGTGATTTGTTCAACATCCAGGGACTTCGCTGAGCCCAGGAATCCCTGTCTACCTGACTGGGGAGTCTGGACTCAGCTCCTGCTCGGAGTGGCAGGTTCCTTTTGTTTGGCAATTCTCTTTTCTGTTCTAGGAAATAGCAAATGGTTCTTCACGGATTCTGCCTTTGTACAATAATGGTGAAATCTATCAATGAACATCTGAACTGTTCAAAGCTCTCTTAAAAATATAGAGTACAAGATGGGTAAAGAAACTCTACCTCCAACATTAGAAACCACTAAAATCACACTACTTTAACAGATGCAGTTTTCATTTCCTTTCAAAATAGGACTCTTTCTCAAAATTCTCCAGAAATCCATGCAGGTTGCTCAGCATGCCAACTTGCCTGAGTTGCTGTATTTTCTAAAAGCTAACTTTTTTAGGAGTCTTTTTTTTTTTCTTCAATAGAAGAGGCCCTGACATTTGGACATTCAGGGGTATGTGCAAACGCATGAGAGCACCTGTGCACACGTGTGTGCGTGTGCGCAGACTGCAGGAACACTACGCTTACTTTCATGGGATGGAAGGAAGGAGATTTTGTTACTTGCTAAGAGTAAATTATGCAGAGATGCCCTTCATGCTTTCACAGTGTTTCGAGCACTTTCTTTGAGGAATTCCCATCAGCCCCACAGCACAAATAGAAGATCCAGATGCATACATGGAAGAATTAAAGTAAAGAGTTTAAACTTTAAAGTAACATTACTATGCCATACGCAGCCAGTCTGACAGAATACAGTAAATAACATTTGCTCAGACACTTTACCATGCACAAAGCATGCAGTGTGAGAAAGAGACTTTGACCCAGGGTTTAACGTCTATGTCCAGATAAAAATAAGCAAATAAAAGCAAAGGTTGAGAACAGTCCCTCCCCACAGATGACGAGAAAGAATGACAACTTATCCAACAAGGAAAATCCCAGGCCTTTCCCCCTTGAGCTGCAGGGAATTTTCACGTTCACCACTTTAACGCTAGAGTCTTCTTTGCATCTCTTTCAGGGTTTCCAGGCTGTCCCCATCAGCCCCCCGGTTGGCCACGGTGCACATCTGTGTCCTTACCATTTGGAAGCTTCGAGTCGAATGGAATTCACACTGCATCATATCAAAGAAGATGGGGATGGTGGCTTTGCGCAGTTCCGTCTCGGGAATGAGCGTCATTTCTAATATTGGGCCAACCATTTCTGGAATGAACTTTATCTTATGTTGACCTTGGAATAAAGAAATATACTATTCAGAAATAAAAAAGCATTCAAACATGGGCTTAACTTCACAAAACAGAACCATGTGACATTGCACAGGAGATCTTGGGACTGTTCCTGTACTTCTCACCTATAGGTAACGAGCTTGAGGACCTCCAGCATTTCGCATAGGAAGTGGGCTGTCTTCCCAGTGTTACCAGGGAAGCCATTCAAAGCCCATCCAACGGAAGGCCTGTAATCACGACTTGTGGGTCGCAGCAGAGCAGCTGCTGTTCCTACACACAGCTGCATGGTCCAGGGCCTGAGCAGCCACCTGACAGCCAGCTCTGGAAGGGGTGGGGACTGGGATCCGAGGGCCAGCATCTCATTTGCAGACAATGACAAGAACAGGAGTGGACATGGGGAGGGCGCAGGTGGTCTCTTGGTCCCTTACTATCGCCAGCGTCTCATGAAAGTTTACCATGTGGCACCTCTGTAGGTCATGCAGAGTGACTTCTATGACATGCCAAATGACCACAACTAAGGAACCAAGAACAGCCATCAGAACTTGGGCGGCAGAAACAGGAACAATTCTACCTGCTGTGGCTATTGGCGGATAGGAAAAGGCTTATTTAAAGAACTACGTTATTAGTCCCAGCTCACCTATCTGTCCAGAAACGACTTTTAAAGAATTCAGGAAAATGATTCTTCAAAAGCTTTTTAAAAACAAAATCATAATAATGAGCGTTATGTTAGCTAACATCACTAGTCATGGGCTGCAGACAAGCCTCCAAGGAAGCTCCTTCTCATCAACTCATCCAGAGCCTCAGGAGACAGGCACCTTTCCAACCCGTCTTATAGACGAGGACGCAGGGCTGTCTCCATGGCTGCTCAGGGAGCTGGAAGAGCAGGATTTAGACTGGCTCTGAGATTCTGGCCCTTCAGCTTTGGCCTCACTGATTCCTTCCCTGTCTGCTGGGCCCAGGATCTCTGAGCAACATTCGGACCCTGCCCACCTCTCTGCAGCAGCATCCGTGCACTCTGTCCACACCCCTCCTGAAGTCAGCAACCTCTCATCTTACCCAGCATCGTTGGAATACTACAGTTCTAAGATAAATCCCTCAGCAAGTAGAATGGCTTCTTGCAAGCACCAAAATTTCTATTTCAATAGTTTTTGCTGGAAATCTTGGCACTGCACTTTTGTGGGCCTCTGTCATTGGCTCTGATGGCAGCTCAGAAACAGCACTGGAAAATCCGTGCCCCTCTCTCCTGCTAGCTGTGGGTCTGCTGCCACTGTGCCCCACCCTGCAGTGGCCCCAGTGCCCTTTGGCTGTTCTGCCTCTAAGTTCCTGAGGTCTGGTAACCTAGGTGACCTTACAGAGCTTTAAGTGAATGAGGAAGGCAGAAGGACAGAGAGGAGGCAACCCCAAGGTTCCTTCAGGACCTGGTCACTGGGCCTCTGCAACAAAGCTTCTGGGAAACCCACTGCTCCACACAGGGCCCACTGCCAGGACAAAATACAGAGGGGTCCACCAAGAAGGGTCCCTTAGAACCCCACCTGATCGTCTTTCATCTCCGAGATCTTCACTTATCTCCAAATCCCTCCCAGATAACTAACATCATTTCATTCCCAGCACATAAAAGAAAAATGTGCAAGAAGTTAGATGCTTGAATGGATTATTTGTGACATTTTTCTATGAATACCAGCACTTTATCCAGAGTTAATCAATCTTACTGATTCTTTTACACAATCAGGAAACAAGATGGATACCCTAAAGAATTTAGTATTCTTTACAATTCAACTCATACAGATTTCCACAAAGAGAATCATCAAACAAATTTGGCTACTATAAATAACTGTACTTAAGAAAATACATAATCCTCCTACTAGCCTAAACAAAATTTTTCTAGGGACACACACATACACACACACACACACACACACACACACACACACACACAATGTAACTTTCTATAAGGAGCCTGCATTGATTCATATCTGACTTTCAGCTTTTACTAAATCATTAATATTTAGACTAAAGCTGTTACAGCATGAGTCTCATCCTCGCCAGCTGCTTAATGTTTCTGGAAGGCCTGTAACCGCTGGAAAGCATTCTCTTGAAAATGCCATTAGATTCCATCTCTCAGGTGACGCTTTCCTTGTATTATGCCGAAAAAATGTCAGAGCCAATGTTTCAGAAAACAGATGATAGTGACAGCGAGTTGCTCATCAACCATGATTTCAGCATCATAAAGTTCCGCGTGTCACCAATCGCTTTTAGCGTTCCAAGCTGGGAGGAACGTGAAGGCAGGAACAAGTGGGTGTAGATGTGGAGATGGGAAAACCATGTTACAAAGACCCGGGCACCACCCTCCCACTAGGGTGGGACACACACTGGGCTGGAGGGGCCGGGGTTCTGGGGACAGAGCACCAGCTAATGGTAGGTGATGCTCACGCTCCTCCAGCCCCTCAACCAACTCTTCCCTATGGCTCACCTCTTTCCTTCCTTCCTTTTTAATGTCTGCATCCCGGCTTTCCCTGGGAGCAAGTCTAGCTCAAACTTAAGGATGAACTCGTGTTTTAACCATGAGGAGATTCCTGCAGTGTAGACCTCAAGAAAAAGAGGATGCATCTTTCTTCTCCTTTGGAGACAGAGGAAGAGCAAGCCACTCACTGCACCTCTGGCCATCTGACCAGTCCCTGAGACTCCCTGGAGTCTCTATTCATGGAACTGCTTCCCAGGGAGCTGACTTGCTCTGGAAGGCAGGCCCGCCCCAAGCAGCAGCCTCTACAGTGTCCGGATGACAGCTCTGCAGTCACCAGTACTCAGAAATCTAGGCATGAAACAGTCTTAACCCAGGAAAATCTCCCTACACAGGAGCAGGCAGGGCAAAAGTCCCACCAGCCGACCAAGACCATCAGGCCACACTGAGCCGTGTTGGGGTGGGCTCCGAGGAGAGCACACAATTTACTCAGGCCCTGAAAACACTCCTATAGGAAACCCTGCAAGAAAAACATCCCAAACCAAATCAGCCATTAAAGACCTTGCTGTGGACACACTGGTTCTGGCTGACAGGAGGCAGGTATCTGCTGGCTCTGGTGCTGAGGGAGGAAGGCAGGAGAGGTGCTCAGCAGGCTGCCTGGGAGTGAAGAGCCAGGTACCCCACATCCCCTGCTTTATTCTTTGGAAAGAGAGTCTGCCTTTGATGTCCCCTTTCACACTCAAAATATGAAAGGCCCTGGAGGGACAGCACCATGCCTGCCCCTGGGGAGGTGCCCTGTTTATGGTTGCGTCAGATGGAGCACAAAAGCCCGGGTTCCTGCTCTGAGGCTGGGCTTGGAGGTGCACTCAGACCCTTCATCTCAAGGGACCACAGGGAACACTGCAAGATCCAGGGAAGAAGGGGTGTCCTAGAGCCTTCTGCACAAGGCCTGACCGAGTGACAGGTGACTAATTATAAGATGATAAATGTATCTGATCTGACTTCTATTTTTATTTTCTTGGCACGGCCAACTCTAGCAGTCTGCCAAAATATTCCCAAACCTGAGCCCATTGGAAAAAATAAAATAAAAAGCTGTGTAGAAAGTAAGCTGTGCATATCCTGAGATGTGCCCTCGTGAGTTTTGAGAATGGCACCCGGCACAATGACTCCTGTGGTCAGGTTCCACCATCTGGGACCCAGAGTGGCAGGGGCCACTGCCTGAGGTGGCCCTTGGAGGTATTCTCAGGCACTGCCTGAGAAGATCCCTAGGCAGCAGATACCTTTATTATTATTTCTCTAATTTTCAAACATTTCATTCTCTCCTTAGCAAGGAACCCAACCTGGTAGATAATGGTTATTACTCGCTGTTTCCGAGTCCTAGCCCTTGTTTGGCCAAGGTCATGGTTTCCTATTGACCTCTAGACTACATCTCAGGCCGCAGCTGATGTTCCCAGCCGAAGATCTGCAAGACACACCTTTTATACATTGATCACTATATTCAAATCAGCAAATGACAGGTTCTCTTAACTGCATCCTTTATGCTACAAATCAAAAGTCTCCTCTCGCCAGGCTCCGCTTATTTGGAACATAATGACAGATAATGTCCACAGAACAAGCTGCTCTGAAATAGCTTTAGAAATGTGAGCCAGACCTGAGTGGGTCTCTCTAAGGACCAATGTAGCCCAGGGGAGAAGCATGAGAGAAACTCACACCCCTCTTCCCCCTCTTTGCTTTCTTCATTGCTATCACAGAAAATGGCAAAAAAAAGAAAGAAAGAAAGAAAGAAAGAAAGAAAGAAAGAAAGAAAGAAAGAAAGAAAGAAAGAAAGAAAGAAATGGGTCCAGTTTTGATGGTGGTCAATCTCAGGGATTCCAGAGTAACATTAAAAATACTTAAAAAAAAAAAAAAAAAGAAAATCCAACGCATGCTGTGGGCGTGTGGCCCTGGGGTAGACCACTTGCCTAGCAGGCACAGGGCCCCACAGAAAAACAAAGAGAAAGAAACAAAGAACAAAAAATAAGACACAAAAACTGAAGTGGAGAAAGCACAAAAGCACCCATCAGGGTGACCGCTGGCCAGCTGTCGCTTGAGCTGGGTTCTGGAGTGTCCCTCTTCTGCAGGCAGTGACCCTGTGGTGGAAGGCCCTTCAGGGATGGGAGGAACCTTGGGAGACTTGCAGGGCCAGGGAGAGCCATGTGGTCGCTGTAGCCACTTTTGCAGTGGAAGCGCTTCAATGTGCACGTAGGTCTCTGCCCCTGCAGGGAGGGCGCCTCTCTCTCCTGGGAAAACAGGATCAAGCCATTCCAGCAGGAAGTGCCTTTATTTGAAAGCATGTGTGGGCCTGTCCCCATGGTGGGGGTAGTCCCACTCTTTCAGAAAGGGCTCAGGTAGAAGATGGCCGCAGAGAGAGGACTGTCTAGGAGAGCTAAGTGTCTGCACTGAGAGTCCAACCTGACAGGCAGAGCCCATGTCACCTCCTTCGTTGATGCTGGGCCTAGCAAAGGCCTGGACTCCCTGTCCCCCAGCTAGAGCCAGCATCTCCCTGAAAGCCACCTCTCCAAAAGTCCCTTTGGTCTGCCTGCCTGTGTCATGGGGCTGCACACTGTCCCTGTCTGGCACAAGTCCTGTCTCTGGCTGCAGGGCAAATGACAAATGCATCTGTTGTGGCATGGTTTTAAGAAGGACACAGAGAGACCAATGGGAGTGAATCACAAACGGTCCTCTTCTCTGCTCCCAAAGCCTTAGCATTGGATGCTGAGGTCATCATGCATTTCTGCCCTAGAACATCTGAGCCTTGGCCTGGAAGGCTCCTGAATCCTTCAGCCCCAGCTCCTTCCCTCACAACCCAGAGAGCTAGTCAGGGCAGGAGGGGACCCAGCCCCCTGACTCAGGCCGCCTGGGCAAGGCAGGCGGGGCAGGGCGGGGTGGAGTTCCCACCCCATGGGTTCCCACTCTGCCCCCTGGAGCACCAGGAAGACCAGGACAGGATGGCCACTGCAGGATTCTTGCCACAGAGACTAGTGGCCTCTGATAACTCAGAGCCTGTACTCAGGTCCTGCAGTTGTCACCTGCAAAACCCCAGCACAGAGTGTCCTTATGGGGTCCTCCGTGGCCTCCAGTGCTGACACCTGGGGCCTGTGGGCCTGTGCAAGCTCTGTCCCTGAGAGGGCACAGGGGACAGGGCCACTTGGATGCTCTGAATCCCTGCCTGGGGCTCTCACGGCAGAATCTTGCTTCTGGAAGTGTAACTGGGGTCACGTGGGACTCCCACACTGGCGGCATGGCCCACAGAGTGTCCTGGTCTTGTTTTTCAAGGGGTTTGGCATTTCTATCATTTCTATTTTGGGGTAAAAATCCATTTGAAAAAAACTCCATTCATTATTTAATCGGAAAGACAACTTTTGCAAGTTCTCTTAACTTTCCCTGGAGACAGGATGAGGCCACTCTTTCTGTGTCTGCTGACTGAGGAGGCGAGGTGTCAAGAGCCCTTCCAAGGGAGTCACAGAGGTCACCGAGAGCTTGCTGGCCACACAGGCATGGCCTGCAGAGCCTGCTGCTGTGCTCCCAGGCTGTCCAGGAGGGCGCTGGAGTCCATGCTCAGAGTTGAGCACTTGTTCTCTCCACCTCTTCCTAACCCCACTTTCCAGGCGCTGTCCAGAGCCAGCACTCACTCAAGAGCCAGCGGCCGGCTGTGGCTCTGTTCCCCAGCCCCACAGGAACAGGTGGCATCCTGCTCAGGGGAAGCGAGATGAAGTGGACAGGGAAAAGAGTCTCTGGGACAGAGGGGAGAGCAAGGCGCCTCTCAGGAAAGCCATCTCCCAGGCCACCCGAGAGGAAGAAGCACAGCCCTGATGATTCGGAGGCAGGAATACAACGGAAGCCTTGCTCAGGACCTCCAAGGCCACCAGCCTCTCCTGGCCCGGGCACCTCTGCCTCAGGCAAGTTGAAGAGCAGAGAGCAGGCCAGAAAGAGAGTAATCTCACATAGGCCAGGCTCTTGGAGGGCTCAATAAAGGCAGGGGGAAGATCCCAATTTGTCACCAGTCACATTTCTTTCAGGAGCCTATCTAAAAGAACTAGACCTTGTATTGGCTACAGTTCAATAAAGAGTTCCTTGTGGTTGTGGACGATAAAAGCAGGTGGGAATGCTGTCTTCACTTATAAACGAGGGTGTATCAATTTCCTGTCATATAATAGGACTTACTATTGCCTCAGCTGCAGGAGCACATTATGCTCCCACCACTTGGTGGCAGTGTACCTAAACACCGCATCCAGGTTTGAGTGGTCCATGGACTCGTTAGATGTTAAATTCTGCAAATCTGGACACAGTCAGTGGTGGCAAAGGTCACAGCGGGATGGGCTGCAGGATTTGAGACCTGAGCAGCTTCCAGGGCAATGGCGCCTGCAGCAGAGTGTTCACCAGACACCAGGCGGTACTCTCCTGGGTGCTCTGTTTGCCCACCAATCAGACTGTCTCCCCTCTCCCTTGGCCTGTCTCTCAACTACTGAAAACTATGAATGCGGAGAAGAGTAATTCCTGCTGCCCAGGAACAGAAGCAGTCAGGTTGAGCTGCCCCAGCGCTGCCGACCAGGGCTAGGGGCATGACCTGGCTGGGAGTCATGGTGCGCCCCCCACCCCCGAGCCTGGCCACTCACCAAGGTTGTACCACATGTCTCTGATTTCAAAGCCGATCTGCCTCCTCATGTCTCCATACCTGGGAACAAGGGGAAGGAAAAATGCTCGGTTACTGGGAGCATCTGAAACTCAGGCTCCTGCAAATGCAACTAATGTCTCCCTCATCGGACAAATGAAGGGTGGGTCAGAGCTCCAACTTCCGTTGCCACCAGAGGCCTCGCAGGTGGTAGAATCCGGGATCTCACTTTCTGTGGGTAAAGTGTGGGGAGGGTGGTTGCTTGCTCTAGTCCCCAGGCTCCGGGGCCTTGGGGGAAGTTTGTTGTGTATGCATGCCATTAGCATTTAGATGCCAAGTCGCACCCCACCACACACACAGCTTTCTGTGTTAAAATTAAACCCGGAAGAAAGGGAAAGCACATCCAGATTTCTCCTATTCTTCGACATCACTTTAAACGTAAGGAATGACTTAACACCAAAACATGTCAACGGATGTTCCACCGGATTTTGTTTATCAGGGAAAATAAATGCTAATTTTCCTCCCGGTGGGCGAACAGAGGAGGTGTGTGTTTCATGAGTAAACAGAATTTGATGCTTCAGAAGATAAAGCTTTATTAGTTTGTGAGCAATTTAACTTTTTCCTTTATTGCCTAAGGAAAAAGCTGATTATATTAAAAATAATAATTTGCAAAATTATCCTACAGTATTGCGGCTTAGCAGCTGCTTCGAGGAGCTCCATGTTTGTCCTCCTGGCAGCTGACGAACAAAGGGAAGCGATCGCAGATGAGCGCTCCGCGGCTCTTGAGGCCAAGATGGGGCTGCTAAGTCAAGCGCCCAGCCTGCCACCACCTTATTAAAGTCTCTGGTGCCCCAAGCTCCTGTCTGTCACTCACGGCAGGAGGGTTCCAGCCCTGTGATCATCTCTCCCTGGAAAGCGACTCTAGGCAGAGAGTCTCTGGGGGTGGAGGACACAAGATGGAGACTGAACTGGGAGCCCAGCCTCTTGCTCCCAGGGTCAGCTGTAACCTGCAAGCCTGGCCAGCACTCAGGTGAAGGCAAAGCAGGTACTCTGTGAATGGGGTGGGGTCCTCAGCTGGCAACATGGCCATCCCCAGGCTACGGTGAGCAAAGGGCTGTCACAGACAACAGAGCCCCTGACTCAAGTTCATGGGTGACAGAGAAGCACCCTTCCACATATAACTCAGGCACCCCAAATTGCCAGGCGCTGTGCCACCTGAACACTGTTAAGCTGTGCTTCCTTTGGGGGGGTCTCCTGATTCCCTTTTGTTCCCTGGCACCATGAGAGGGGTACCCCAACAGCCACACAGCCCAAGCTGGGGAGGATGCAGCTGGCTGTGTGGTGACCTGGCCTCGTCATCCTCCTGGCGTTTACGGGGAAGGGGTGTGGGAGGCAAAGCTGTGTCCACGCCGAGTGCAGCCTCCTCTGAGGGTGGTCATTCTCACTGTCCAGGTGGTCCAGTCTCTTCCGGCCAAGCTTGCATCCCACAAGCTTGGAACACAAGGTGGCCCCAGACACAAATGTCCCCAGCCTCTGTTCAGACCCTCAACACACCCAGGAGGCCAGCCACCCAGAGGAGGTAGAAGCCCTGTGCAGGGGGTGGGCCTTTGGGCTGCTTTCTCAAGCCCTGGACACTCCCACATCCGAGCCACAGGGGACTCTGTATCCTTCTTGGATGGCGCCTCTGCAAGACCAGCACAGCCCAACATGAGGCTGAGCACCGGGGCTCCCTGCTGCTCCACCCCTGCCTCAGCTCCTCTCCGGTCCTAGGATGGGGACAGTTACAGCGACTCCAAGGAAATCCTAAGGTTTGGAAATTCATGCACAGGAGACCAGAGGCAGCCATGGGGGCACCTTGCAGTGACCCAAGGTGGCTCTCTGTTTGGGTCTCCTGGCAGCCAGACTGATTTTAAGTTTTAATAAGAAGGAATCTCAACAGGCCTCAGTCATCCCCAAAGAGTCGCGGCTCTCATGAGAGCTCGATGGGGCTTCCCGTGCTCCGGGGCTCCTCCCCTGGAGGAGGGAAAGGTCACAGTGGCCCGTGTCTGGGCTGAGGCTCGTGATTGGAGCTGGTGGAGACCGTCCAGATCAGGGTTAAATTCCTCCTGAACTTTGCAATCCAGGGATCTGGGCAGAGACAGCCGTGGGAATGAGGAGAGAAGGGTCCAAGTGCTCAGGGCCAGGCCCCTGTCTTCCCGCACATCTCGGGGTGCAGAAGCGCTGCACAGCATAGCACCGAGCTCTGGCTTTTGCAGCACTTTCCTGTGTCTCCATCCTCCTGTAGGACTGTGGGGCAAGCAGGCAGACCTGGCCTAACGCTCTCCCAAGGAACAAGTTGCAATCCAGCGTGCAGAACCGACATGCACGGGGCCACAGGGACAGAAGGTCAGGAGCTGGAGTCGCCTGGCTGTCAGCGCTTCTCAGCACACCCAGCTTGCCTGTGTCCACCTGCAAATGGGGCACCGGGGCCTATGCTTGGGAGGGAGCTGCTCCACCCCCAGGACAGCTAGGATCCTACATCCAGGCCTGCCTCTTATCCCAAGGAAGAGAAAAAACCATGTCCCCCAGAGACAGCCCAGACTTGGAGGTGAGGTCTACCTGAGCCCAAATCTAAGCACAACTACAAATCGCTTGACCACTCTGACCCTCAGTCTCTTCATAGTACTGGCAAAGTTCATTCCCAGGCTTTGGTGGAAGATAAGAGGGGAACCCTGGTGTGAGCAAGCACATGAGGCAGTCTGGAGTTCTGTTTCAAGCCTCAGACTGGACCTCATTTCAGCACCCCCGTCAGGGTCCCAGGGGTTGTTTAGACTGAGTCTACTAGTGAACATCCAATGAGCATTTCAGACAAGACCCATGAGCCCAGGGAACTAGCCAACGATCACGCAAGACATAAACACACGTCGTGCACATCGCACCTGTGAGTGTAACCTCACCTGGAAATAGGGCTGTGCAGATGCAATCCAGCTGAGTAGTGGGGTCCCTAAACCCAACCACTGGGGTCCTCACAAGGAGGGGACGATGCACAGACAGACACGTGGGAAGGCTCATGGAAGAGCCTAAGCTGAAGACACGGCAGGGACTGAGTTAACTCAAGACACGTCAAGGCCTGGGGACGGCCACCAGAAGCTGGAGAGGCCTGGGACACATTCTCCCTCGGAGCCAGAGGAAGAGCCCACCCAGCCGGCCTCCGGAGCTCAGACTTCTGGCAAGCTTCTGTGGATGCGAGACAGGCAGCTTGCATCCACTGTCAAGGCAGATGGACCTCGGCCATTAATGCAGTGAGTGACCCATTCAGTTAATATGCTGGCCAGCAGGTGGCCGGGACCCACCAGGGGAATGTGCCCATAAGGAGACAGAACTGAGATCCAGCACTCACCCTCAAGGGGACAGGCACGGCCAGGAGAAAGGCCCAGAGAGACCGGGCAGTGAGAGGGGAGTGTGCACAGCCACAGAGCTGGGGTTGGACTGTGGTGTCCCTGAGGCTGGTGTGCTGAGGCTCGGTGTGCAGTGGGACCACTGAGGGAGGAGGGGCACTGAGCAGGTCATGCGGTGCCACCCTGAGGCCGGAGCAATGTCCCAGAGAGACTGGCTGAGTTCCCCAGACTGGCTCAGGTCCTCAGGGAGGCAACCGCTCTCTTAGGAGTGGGCTGGGCATCCTGGACAGTCAGGTCTCCAGGCTGGATGAGTCTCCAGATGGAGGGTCATCAGGAAGCAGCTGGCATCCATCTCTCTCACATGTGCGCCCCTCCTACACCTCACTTCCATCCCCACTCCTCACCCCATGGTGACACAGCACAGAGCCCTCACCAGAAGCCGAGCAGGTTCTGGCATCATGCTCTGGAAATTTCCCATCTCCAAACCCACTAGACCCAATAAACCTCCTCTTTTTATAAAGCAATTGGCATAAGGTATTTTGTCATAGCAACACAAAAGGGACCAAGATCAGGGGAAGGACAACAGTGTTGAAGGATCTGGGGAGAGCAATGGAGAGAACTGAACGCCGCCTCCCTGAATGAGGGCCTTCCCACCTGGCCAGGAGTGCTGGGGACCACAGGGTTGTAGCAGGAGCTTGGGGTGATGTCAGGGGAGCAAGGGACAGAGAGGCAGGGAGGAGGCTGAGAGCAGGTGAGGCATCTGCATCTTGATGACAAAGACAGCAGGTTCCTGGAAAGGCAAGAGGGGACGGAGCCCAGGTGGGAGCACCAGGAACCTTCCTGGTTAGACGCAGGGCTGACGCTAGGGCACCAACAGGAGCCGAGGGGTGCTCGGCCAGCTTTGCCACCATTTCGCTGGAGCGAGTTCCCACTTAGGAAGTCTCCCTGGGTCTCCTTCTAATTCTCAAAGTGAATTTGTTTTGAGTCATGAGTCTCTTGAAAAACAAATCAGCACAAACACAAATTAAATGGAGATTTCCTGTTATAATCGGTGATACAGAATCAGCTTCCGATGAGGTCACCCTGCAAAACGGGGCTTGTCAGGGCACATCAACTTCCTCCTAGTTTCCACATGACGTCCTGCCTGCAGCTGGACGGAGCCCATGGGCCCCTCGGAGCCCACCGGACGTGGGGTTTTTGTCAGTTGCAAACCTGCCCTTTGAGGAGGTGGTGGACTTGCGTGGGGACAGCCCAAAGTCTAAGTGGGGAGAGGGTCTCGTGGAGGGCGGTCTCTGCACACCGCCAAGGGCACCGGGGGCCTTTGCCACTCGGCTCATCTTCTCATGCTGGGAACTTTCAGGGGCCTTTGATGCTCAGATGTGCTGGAAGCCAAAACCGTGAGCTGTTTTTCCTTCTGCAACAAAGTCCTGAAGGAGCTCTTTTGCCACCTGGTCCCACAGGAGGACACACGGTGACTGGCATACTAAAACTGTCAAGCTGGCTGCTAATCAAAGGTCCACTCCAATGCGTTTGACTCAGACTTCTTGAGCCCTAAAAACATACAGGGCTGGAGGAGGGAAGGAAGTGGCCACGGCAGGGTCAGCGTTCCGTTGACACCTGGGTCATCCCTTGAGTCACTAGCACCCCGAGGACGTCTGAGGCTCCAGCCAGCTAAGTTTTCTTGTTACGCACTTTGACTCTGGGTTTGCCTGTTCTGTGAGTCACCGACCAGTTCTGTGCTCAGTTTGGGTTTGTAGTCGGTCCTCGGTGAGGCAAGGCCCACTCCTGGGTGTCGCCCGGTTCACTGTGGGGAACGGAGATCCTAAGCAACCTGTGGCCCCAGCATCAGGAGGGCGGAGCACTACACAGGGGGATGCGTGCGCGGGCAGCCTCTGGGACTATAACTTCCTACTATTTGAGCCACAACACTGTGGACCAAGCAGAGATGAGAAGGTGCCGGCTTGTAAAAAGGAGAAAAGGGGTGGAAGATGCTCCTGAGATTCCTTTGGAGAGAGCCCAGAGGCAGCAGAGGGGCAGCAGAGGGGCAGGCGTGGAGACAGTCCTGAGGATGCCCCTTGACATGAGTCCTCTGCAGATCTGGGTTCTCCACTAGGCGAAGATAAGCAGGTGCAACATGCTCCACTGAGCCCCAAGTCGGCCTCCAGCCCTGGCTCAGACCCATAGGGTCCCCAAGCCCCCCTCCAGGCTCTGCTGCTCCCTCCACTTCCACACCCTGAGCACCTCTTTCTTTGGATCGGCCTTCATTTAGGACTCTAGGCCCCCTTCTGAGCCGACTGTTGACAAGTCAAACTGTCAGACCTCTCCGTGTTCCCCCCTTCCTTAAAACGTCCACCTGCTGGGAGGCCTTCTGATCCCCAGGCCGACCCTGCAGGCCCCCCTCCCACTGCCAAGGCCTCTCCCTCACCAACTAGGTGCAAGTCTCCATCAAGGGGACTCCTCCTTATCTTCTGCCCCTGGCAACCAGCTCACCCTGCCTGAGCACGAAGCAGCATGAGCCCTTTCACTGGATCATTTCAAACCAACCAAAACATTTCTAGATGTTGTATGTGCCTAGAAAATTTAAGAATTCAGGTGGGATATCTTAAAATACTTCTTATGCAGGTTTTGCTATTTGAAATAAGATTTGCACATGGATTATCAAGTGTTTAAGGTCTATTAAGGGAAATGAAGAACACAGCAAACACTGGTGGCTCCTCACAGGGTCTAGGACACTGAAAGGCCTCAGGTAGCCCAGGGCTTATCTCAGGCTGATCTCAGTAGGAGAACTCCTTGTCTGCATGGCCTGTCATTGCTGCAGGGGGATCCCAGGACCCCAAGAGACCCCCCAGACTCACTGTGGCCTTGAAGCAACCCTATAGAGTTTGGGGAAAACACCTTCCAAAATGCTCCGGACTTTCCCTTGGGAAATGCATGGGATAATGCACAGGGGGGCTCTGGCATCTCCTATTGCTGCAGTCGGGAGAGAGCTGCATGAGGCCCGGCCCAGAGGCCCTGCCGGCTCAGGGAGGAGGACACCAGCTGGTGCCAGTTCTTCTCGGCACCTCTCCTCCTGCAGGCATCTTAAGGGCAGGTGCTTGGCAGAAATGGTTCCGGAGTCAGCTGCCATGGGGTCTTTCACTTTGGGTGGCCATCGTGGGCAGCGACCCTGGCACAGGCTGAGCTCTCCTGTGCATCAAGGAGTCATGGCAGCCCTAGGTGAGTTGCGCTGCAAGGGATCAGAATGAGCGGGTTGTTACTATTTCTGCCTAGGAAAGCTTTTGAACTATAAGGACAGCAACCTCGCCAGCCACTGTCCCTCATTTCCTGTGGTCCTAGGGAACATGAATGTCCCCAAGTAGGAGTCCCACGTTGGGTGCGTCTCCAGCAGGTGCTCCAGGGTAAGTCTGTCTCTGGATGGGTGGGCCTTGGGGAATGATGAGGACCTGTGTTTGTCCAAGGAGTGCACAGAACTCATGGCCATGGGTGGGCACCCTCTGTCTACTCTACGCATGGCTCACCAGGTGCAGGTCTCTCTTCTGAGCCGTGATCACTGTCCACAGCCAGGGCTCTTCGGAGCTGCTCAGCTGTAGAAGCCTGAGGGAAGCTGGCCAGGTAGTACCTGCTTCTCAGTTCGTTGGTGTGTGTCAAAGGCCAGGGAGCCCTGAACACAGTACAGGTTAAAGCCTTGGTCTCCGAGCTCCCTGGACCAGGATCCTGCCTTGCACTTTCTAGGCAGAGTTAGTCAGAGATTCGACCAACCTGTCCATCACCTTGCTCATGTGGAAGATACAGATGACACAGGGCTTAGTGAGTAGTTCTGTTTTTGTAAGGATCACATGTGAAAAGCACAAAGTGCTTAGAAGGTCACCAGCACATAGTACAAGCTCAGGAAGTTATTTGCTGAAGCCTCTCACTCTCCAGGGACAACGGGCTTTCCATCTTTCCTGCACACTCAGAGGATGCCAGGAACGCTGAGCAGCTGCACCTCCTGAGCCTCCCTCTGCAATCGAACCTCAGGAGCAGCGGGGACTTGGCCATGCCCGGGCACAGCCAGGACGTTGCCGAGGCATTCTAAGCTGTGACTGGGCACCACGGTGCCACTTTGGAACTCTTTTCAATATACTTATGACAGGGACAATGGGAGCAGGGCAAATTCTTGAAACAGGAGCAGAAAGAGAGGAGGCAAGAGCGCAGGGTGCCCAGCTGTTGGAAGGAACGTGTGTGACCATGTTTTCCTTGATCCGGGAGCAGGTGCAGTGAAGGGTGCAGACTAGGGTGAGGGAACCCCAAGTGCTCTGCAGCGACCTTGGCCTTCATGGAGCTTCCTCACAGAGACCCAAGGGGCTGTCCAGTCCACTCAAATCTCCTGGACAGAAGACGGCTGTCTGCTGCCTGAGGGAAACCCGCAGTGAGAACTCCGCCCTGAGTTGCTGGACAGTCCCAACAGGCCAATGGCTTTCACCAAAAGCCTGATTTATAAGCAGAACTGGAGAATTAAGCAATAAAGTAATGTGCAATGACATCAGAAAGAGTGCACAGCAAAATCGTCATCTCCAGAAGCTCAAATCCTGTGCTGCTCTAATCGTCTTGAATTGCACCGACTTTGAACCTACCAGGATGAATCCTGCAATTTTAGATCTTGATTCATGGGTTAGAAAAGGCAATACCCAATTCATGATTTAAAACCACCCCTTCATTACACTGTGATTACATCTCAATTTGTACCCAGTTGGCTTAGAGAAGACATGAAAATTATGCTAATAGAGTTGGAGGCGCCTGCCCAGGTTTCTGAGCAGGGCGAGGACTTACTTGTTCAGGATTTTGGCTCTCTTAGCACTTGAGAAATTCTCCAGTTGCAAGGACTCTTGGGTGAGGAAAGCAACAGCCAGGTGAAAGTAGTTGTTCCATAGCTGAAAACCAAAACCGGGATGTGTTAAGTTGTTGAACGGCCCAATGTGTGATCTCCCAAAAGCTCTGAAACATTTATCATTTGCTTGACACAGACTTCAGAAATGTTTTTGAAAACCACAGACCTGCCAGCCAGTCTCCACGATGTGTGGTGCAGGCTGAGCTGTGGCTTCCAGGTTGCAGTGTATGCCCTCAAACCCTGCTCTGCAATTCACTGTGCAGCTAAACTAACCTCTCTGAGCCTCACTGTCCTGGTGGGTTGGGAATTCCTTTGGCTTATGGGAGGCACCATCAAAGGCCTGAAGTGTACAGAGGTGCAGACAGGGGCAATGCTGTGGAGCCTGTAAGGAACACTTGGCTCCTATTATCATCACATCTTGGTGCTCCTGGTGGAAGAAGAGCATGATAAGTCATGACTCAGTTTTTTTCAGTGCTGGGGATGGAATGCAGGGTCTTAGGCATGCTAGGAATGCATGACCCGTGCCCCAGTCCTTCTGATTTTTTTTATTATGTCAAAAAACATTATTCATATACTCAACAATTAAGGAAAACTTGTAAAAAGATCAAACACTTTATATTCTGAGGATTTATGGATGTGATTTAAAGACAGTATTTAGAAGAAATTCATCTACAACCAGGACTGTAATCAAATGAGTTTCAGAGTCATATTGAAGTAAGTATGGATGGACTGTGGTTTTAGTTACCTGTGAGGGGCATGGACATTTAGGGGCACTCATAGGCTTGGAGAGTGTGGGCTCCATTTGCTGGACCCTGCCTGGGAATGGGCACCTTCTATGGTAGCACATCTATGCCTTCGATTGCCACAGGGCCCAGGAGCCATAGCCTGTCCTGCCCCACAGGGGGCTGCAGATATGCCCAAAGCTGCAGGTCACATGTGACCCTGGGCAGGTACCCTGGCCTCACAGCCCGTGCATCTTCACTGCCAGAAGGGCCCTGCTGCTCTGGCCTCTTCTTATAGCAGGGGGGCTCCCACCCACAAACGAGCACATGGATTTTAATGTGTTGGGGTTCAGGCTGAGAATCCAGGGGACCAAACTCAGGCAGCAATCTAAAGTACATTGTCACTGATGCTCTGGGAAGAAGGACCCCTCCCCAGTTGTTCCTTTTCTTTTGTTTTCAAAATGACCCCTCCCACCTATGTCCTCCTTCCATAGCACTCCAAGGACCCTGGCCATCATCAGCTGCATGCTGAGAACCACAGTCTGCACCTCTGCAGGACAGGCCCGCTGTGTGCATGGTCCCAGAATTCATGAAATGTCAGATCTTATGCATTTAAAGACAATGCACCAACACAGGCGTTTCTTTTTAAATGACAGTGTCACTAGCTCCTCACTCATTTTCTTCTAAGGACCAGGACTACTGTGGAGCCAGAAGCATTCATGGTATATCACCATGACTCCCCAAAACAAGAGTCAGGTTCGTCACATCTGCCAAGGTGCAGACTCCATGCTGAACCTAAAGAGCACATGGCTTTTAGTGTGTTGGGGTTCAGGCTGAGAATCCAGGGGCCAAACTCATGTAGCAATATAAAGTACATTGTTACTGACGTTCTGGGAAGAAGGACCCCTCCCAACAACCATGACTGCAACACACAGGAATCCACCAGCCTGCCATGCGCAAGGCCAGTCCAGATCGAATCCAAAAACCTCATGAAGGACACAAATACCGTCACACATATTCCAATAGGGGTTAGGAAAACACATGTAGGGTGAAGTCCCCAACCCAAGTTTATTTATAAGTTCAGCAGAATTCCCAGTTAAAATCCAAGCAATGTGTATTTAAAATAGAAATCTAACTAGCTGATTTTGAACGTCATAGGGAAGAGGAAATGCACAAAAATAGCCAAGATAATTTTGCATTAGAAAATGAGTCGGAAAGAACAGGCTCCACTGGCGGGGCCTAGAGAGGCAGGTACACAGCAAGAGGAGCTTTCAGGCATGTGCGTGCAGCCATGCTCTCCAGGGCCTTGAGCCATCATGATACGTGGAGCAGAGTGACGTCAGAGCCTCACCCTGAGCTAGCTGTCTCAAGCCCAGATGGAGCACCCTCGGAAAGCTAAGACAGTGGGAAGGGGCTGACAACTCTGAAGCCAGCCTCTGCAACAGCGAGGTGCTAAGCAACTCAGTGAGACCCTGACTCTAAATAAAACACAAAATATAGCTGGGGATGTGGCCCAGTGGCCGAGTGCCCCTGAGTTCAATCTCGGGTACCCCCCACCAAAAATAAAATAACAAGCAGCAAGGATTTGCCAAGCAAAACAAAACCAAATAGCTGTGAAACAAATGTCAGATTTGAACAGAGACAAACTAAGTATTCTTAAGCAGAAGTTTAAACCCATAACCAGGTTATATCAAGGACTCCAACATTGTATATATATATGTATGCATATAGATAGATGTATAGATCAATATACCCACATACATATCTATATAGAGATGTGTGTATCTACACACACACACACACACACACACACACACACACACACACACACAGCCCAACAGAAAAATAAGCAGAGGAGATGATTAGACAGTTCGCAGTTGAAATTCTGTAGATGGACGGTATTCTCAAGCTAACTGGTGCTAGAGAAGATTCTGCTGCTGTCAAAGAATACTGGGGCGATTGCAAAGGGCTACGGCATTTTGGGAGAGCGGCTCATCTCTTCCATCGGGCTTAAACCTTCCTAGCCCACCTGGCCATTAACCTATCTACGCCCACGCCTGCACGGTGACACCCAGGTCTCACAACTCGGGGCAGCAGGTCTAGGGTGGTGATAAACTGGAAGCAGCTTCTAGGTAGTCAGCATAGAAATGCTGGGTGAGTGCTATACATTGTATTGCAGAATATGACTAGACTGCAGACACAAAATAGGAACTAATTCATGTTAAAAGCAACAGGCCACAGGTCGGGGACTTCAGAAGCACATGAAGGGTCAGGGAGAGCACGCGGCAATTAGTCACAGCTGCTATTCCAGAGCAGGGATGAGAGCTGTAAGGGGCAAGAGGAACTTCCCAGTAAACCCCAGGCACTGCCCGTGCATGGCTGCCACACAGGACATGTCTGTGTCTATGAGGCGAAAACAAGCATCAGCAGGAAGATGATAAAAAATTAAAAATTATAAAAGTCACATTGTTACCTGGTATATTATGACTATGATATTGTATAAGCCTGATAGATTAGAAATTTAAAATTAAAAAACTATAAAAGAAATAAAGTGTACATGCCCCCCGAACTTCACCTAAAACACTATGTATCTCGTGAGCTGTGCATTTTCTGGAGACTGGATGTACGGGAGAGGTCACAGGTGTCTAATTTCTATTATCTGATGACACATTTTTGGATTAGCTGCTGAGAGTATATACATTTTTTTTTCAGGGTCCTTCTCAGTGAGCAATCCTATCCAGAAAATAAAAATACCATTTGTATTCTTTTTTATTTGCAGACTTTTGGAAAATATTTTAGGTAATAATGAGAAATAAAATCACCATTAACAAAAACACATCTGGAGTGCGACGGGATTGAGAGCCACTCATCCCAGATGCACGGTAGGGCACTGTGCCACCCTGATGGTGCATACACCATACGCATGCCCCCCCCCACCCCACACACACACACAAGCAGTGCACTAATGAGATCTTTCTGAAATTGGTGGACCAGGTGATGACAACCCTGGGGCTGGGGACATAGCTGGCACAAAGCCAGGAGACAGTATCAGGGGAACACAGCTCTACAGCAAGCTGAGTGCGGATCCCTCTTCTGCGCCTCAGGACAGGCAGAGAGATCTTGGCAGCCACACACTGAGGCTCGGGCCTCCTGCACGGAGAGTTCCTCCTTGTCACTCTGATTCTCTCTGAAACAACTCCATCTCCTAACTTGCTAAATTGAGCAAACGCCCTGGAGGCGTCATTTCGTTCCTCCAGCTGCAATAGTACATACTGTAAATTTCATTTCCACACCTCGGATGGAGACCAATTAAGTTCAAGGATTAGGAATATAAACCACAGAGCGCCCATCAGCCATTTGTTTTAACACGATTCCTCGGCAAAGGTCGCGTCTGCCTCTTCTCTTACCTGTAGCTCAAAGTTGGCTTGGTCCAGAAATTTCTTGTTCAGCATATCTGCATACTGATTAATCGCTCGCAGGAAGACTCTGAAAGATCAAGAGAAAATTACATAATTACACACTCAGGCTCTGGCACCTCTGTGGGCTTGGCATTTCAATTAGACACTACCCCAGACTGTCTGGGATGTGAAGCCTCCAAGTCCTGTGCAAAGCTGGGAGGTTTGGCCAATGAAAAGCTCACAGAATTCTATGCAGATGTTCTCCAAATTTAATCAAGGAAATTAGAACATGCAGAATGAAGGAAACACCAAAATAACAGCTCTGAAAGTAACATTTGAGAAGTATTACTGGAAAAAAATCTAATTAAAAAAAAGGTGCAAATAAAATCCTTTCTTGGAGTTGCAATGCCTTAATATTTTATTATTAAATGATCTTTGCTTAGCTGGCTTTTTAAAGTCATAAATTTGAAAGTGCTGTCAGCATACACACAAGCAGGCTAGGAATGGGTTTGGTGCAGCACCACTGTGTTGGATGTACAGCTGGTTTCAGTATCGTCTGCCCCATGAGCCACAGGCTAATTTGGACCCTCTTTACATGTTAAAATGAAAAATTTTTAGTGGATAGAGAAGTTATTTGATAAGAATTTTCACTGGGATTTCAATTCCTTGAATCATTAATAATATTCCATTCTAAGCACAGTCTTCAGTTTCTTGGCATTGTCTTTCCTGTGGTGAGATTTGCAATTTGGGCTGTCCCCAGTGACAGCAGAGTACTGTGTTTCCCAAGCTCACCCATTCAGTAGATTTGTTTTACAACCCTCAAAGGTGTTGACACAAAGCTTCGACCAGCTCCTTCTTTGCAAAGGGCCCTCTCCCCCTGCAAAGAGGAGGCTGCAGGAGGAACTGGCATCAGGTCACAGATAATGAACTTAATTACACTGCTCCATTCAGACAGCAGGAAGCAGCCAGAGTGGAAGGCAGATCTAGGTTACTTACTACCACCTGCTGCTCTCTGACAGCATTCTCTCTCTCTTTAGCTCAGCTCTCTTGGAGAAGTGCCCTGCCCTTGCCATCCCAGAGGTGTTCAAGGCCAGTGTGCGTGGGAGGAGGGAGGAAGCGGTGCCACCCCACCTCGCCCAGTGCATACTGCCCCACAGTGTCTCTCCCACTCATCCTGCCTGCAGCTCTGAGAAAGGGGACATGCAGACACCATTTCCACAAACAGCCTATCAGCTGGAGGGAGGGCCCACACGGGTGTGCCACAGGGACCCCCCAGCTTGCTCTCAGTCATGGAAGAAAGCTTCAGACAGACTGATCTGGGCTCTTCCCTGGGGATGTTAAAATATAGCCGGAATGGAAGACTGAGTGTCTTTAAGTAGCTGTTAATGGAGGGCTGTGGGGATCACTGCCTTGTCCATCACCCAGTGCCCAGCTGGGCAGCAGCACCCATCAGCTCCAGGGCTGCCAGATTTTGCAAATAGAGAATGCCCAGTTAAATTTGAAAAATAGCTCTTGTGGCTGAAATTTGTAATTGCCTTTAAAAAAAAATAAACTGAAAATACTACATTTGGGCATCCTGACAAATTTGTGTAGAACCCAGGGAAAACATTTCAGAAAACAGGACTTGCCTCATGTGCACAGGAGGCCTGGGAAGTCTGGTTGGTGCTTGGTCTTGGACTGGGGTCTGCTGCCCCACGTTCAGTCCTTAGAGCAAAGACATGAGGCTAAAGAGAAGATGGGCCATCCTGCCCACCTGATGCTCAGCACTTGTATGCAGATGGCCACTGGGGATGCACACTATATTGACCCTGGGAATCACAGACCATGCCCTGGGCAGCAGCTTCCCGAACCCCAGGGTAGGCTCCCAAGCTCAAAAGCACAGACCATGACATTTTTTCCCTTAATTTTTTCCTTCAGCTTTAGAACAGGGTCCCTATGAACTCAAAGAAGACACCATCTCCAGCTCTCTATGACAGTAATGACAAGTTTACTAGAACATGCATTATTATTATACGGTAATTATTTTGCCTCAAGATAGCACCCAAATAGTTGCAATATGCTACTTCTAATTAAGCTTTGAAACAATTCCAGTTAGCTAAATAAAGATATTTCTTAAAATGTTTTTTTTTCTTTTTATAAAAAAAAAATATCATGCTGAAATGATATAAAGCCGGAACAAAAACTTTTTAATGAACCATCAACTGTAAAAGAGCAGTGCGGAGAGATAGATTCTAATATAAATTTTTTAAAAAGCAAGGAGAGAGAAAATAATACAGAAGGTAAGTTCTATGAGGAAAACTAAAGGAGAGATGGCATGAAAACCATAATCAGGGCAGTAAATAAAGATCAGAGGAAGCTCAGGCTCAGTGCAGGAAGGGTGGTGTCACTTGCTAGAACCATCCAGAACAAACACAAACAACATCTTCCATTTCACACTCGCTGGGATGAAAAACCTAGCCACGTTCTCGAGACCATTTGAAGATAAATCAATTAGCTAACTAGGCAAAAAGAAACATAAACAGAGACTTTTAGGTAAGAATATCTATTATCCAATGTGATTAATAAGTTACTTCTAATAAATGTCAAACTGGGGAGCATAAATAAGGAAATCCCATTAGAATCTTAGCATAACGATCGCCTTCAGTAGCAGAGGAGCAGGAGGAGGATCACAGGCGAGCCAGGAACCTGGACTGAGGGCAGGATACCTCTCCAGACAGAACCAAGGGCTGCGCTGGACTCCGTCCGCAAGGCAAGACGGCCACTGTTTTTCAGGGAGTCAGGTGGAGGGACGGTGGGTGTAGTGGGCTTGCCTCTCAGTCCCTGATGCAGCTCTATTTATGCCAGACACTGGGGGAGTTGGCCCAGGGTTAGGAAGTCCTCCAGACCAGGTATAAATGACAGCAATCTCAAAGGCAGTGGATACACCTACTAGTGCTCTGAGGACCCCATGTCTACTCAGCACCTGGCACGTGGATATGCTCACTAGGTAACTGTCCCAGGAATGCATGCAAGAATGACCAGATGGGTGAGCTGGTCAGACTCTGACCCAGCTGGGGGGCTCAGGGAGGCCAGAGTGTTCCTTCCGTAGCCTCTTGCTCTCCCAGAGTCCTTGAATTTCATGAAGACCTTTGGTGGCCGGTGGCAGGGCTCCACTCCTTTCAGGTTCCGGTTACTCCCGTTCTCATTAGGCATTTGCAGGGATGGCTGGGTGTTGTCCCCCTTCTCCTCTTGACTGCCTTCATTCCTTTCTCCTCTCTGGTGATTGTTCCTTGATGGCAAGAACCTTGTCTCTGACATATCAGGGTCCCCCAGTATGCCTACAAGAACCTCCTGCCATCGCACATATTCTAGAAGGCCCTGCTTGAAGGAGCCACTAGTTTATGATGTGCTAATAGATCTCTCTGAGCCAAGGTGTGAGTCCAGGACTTTCCCCCAAAAGAACAAAACAGAAACAATCAAAAACACCCTGAGCTTGCTCCAGTGAAGAGGTGGAGTCCTCCGCCCGGTACAGCGTCTGTTCTCCCCACTCAACTGTGTAGTGGGGAAGCTTCAGGTCACAAAGAGGCCAGGCTGGGCACTACCCAGGGAACGGGAGAGGTGTTTGCAGAGACCAGGGAACTGGAAAGGCAAGAGCTGCTTCCACTTCAGGGGAAGAGATCAATCACTAAACAAGGTCTGTCTCATCCTGAGCCAGGAGAATTAGGAAACTTCTGAGAAACAAAGCCGATGGTATGAAAATTTTAATGTTGTCAAGGACACTGTCCCAAATGATTAAAAACAGGGTAAGCCTGCATTTAATAGAGTTCTTTTCAATCATTTTTAATCTAAGGAAGGATTTATTTATAATCTAAAATTTTGGAAGATAAAATCAAACCTATAGATAAATAATGCAGAGAGAATCAAGGGCAAATTATGTCATCCTAAGAAGGTCCAAAATGCCACAAGGCAAGAAGCCTGCAAGTCTTATTTTTATTCTATTATTCTATTTTTCTTTCTTTCTTTCTTTCTTTTTTTTTTTTTTTTTTTTTGGTGGTGCTGGGGATGAGCCCAGGGCCTCTAGTGCATTAGGGAAGAACTCTAACACTGAGCCTCAATCCAGTCGATTTTATTCGTCCCTGTTCTCGGTAACCCCTGTGTCCAGGGAGTCAGAAGCAGCATGCTTATCCTAGCATGACCCACTTTTAACAGTTTGGGGCCAGTGGTAAATGGAGGCAGTTCATTCCCAGGACCAGACAATTCACCAAACAAATGAACAAACCAATCCGGGAAGTTTTCCTGTCTTCCTTCTCTTTCACCCTGGACATTTAACCCTGGTGAGCTCCACTTGAAACAACACACAGTTAAGTCCTGACATGTCACACGTGAGTTTAAGTGTAGGCGGCACACATACGCATGTATACAACTGAAGTCTTTGTCCCGTTCCATCTGCCAGCCAAAGGCTTCAGGTTCACGTAGACGCTGGGCCACACGACCTTCAGTAAGTTGCTCAGTACCGGGAACATGTGATCCTCATGTGAGGTGTGACGGGTGTGTCTGTCATCCTGACTTAACTGACACACAGGTCTGCATACACCAGACAGGGTACCCCTAACGTATACCATCAGTATTTGTCACTTTAAAATAAATGTTACAATAAACGAAGAAGTGACTCAAGTACTTGAGATTTTCATACGTTCCACCAGAGAGAAGGCCACACAGCTGTGGCACCTCCAAGTTCCCGGAACCTTGAATCCATAGGCTTGGTTTTGTTCTTAACTTGGAGACCGAGGTGAGAAAGAGATATGACCACATCATACAAGTCTCAGAACGCTATGATCTCCAAGGACACTTCACAGAATTTTAAGTCCCATTGATATGAGGGAAAGACGTGTCTGATGACTTCTGCACTCTGCTGCCTTGGGGACTGGAGGGGGGGGACTGGGAAGGCTGCGCCTGCAGGAGACGCTGGGCACGTGTGAAGCCTCTTGGGTTGTGATGTCTCTGGGGGGCGTCCAGCCAGCCTGGCTTCTCAGTCCACATGACACCCTGTCTTGCACAAAAAGGGCCAGGGGCTGCCTGTGGCTCTGGCAGGAGACCATCTCAAAGGCT